CCACAATGCCCCCACAAGAGGGGAACAGTAAACCCCATGTAGGTCTGTTATTATGAAAATATGTTATACGTAAAAACCAGAGAAAGGTCACTATAAGTCAGAATCAACTGCACAGTGCATAATAATTATTTTATTTTGATGATACTGCAACCTCAGAAACAGACACTGTGGGAGGCTTTCATTTTTCACTTGCGAGAAAGCAGTAGCAGAAGGCATTGAAAAATAATGTGTATGGTACTGCTTGTGCATATATCTGCATGCATTTACACATGTTTGTCTGTCTTATTCCCTGGGACAACACAGAGGTGTGGTCTTGTTCAGCTGAGGTGGAAGACCAGGAAGTATGAAATAAGAGTAAGCAATGTGGAGCTGCAAGTAACCAGCAGCAGGCAAACCAGGGAGATCAAAAGCCATAATCAATCAACAATCCAAAAAGTCAAGCTAAGTGGGTATCCCATGGAAACCAATGGGAAACATCTAAGGAGCATAGTCTGGCAATCCAAAGATCATGCACAGTCTGGGAGTCAGCGAGAACTCTCCTGATACACAGTAAGCAAGAGAAGGAAGCAGTAGAAGTTCAAGGCACAGTTACACTGATTTGTATCAGTTTCAGAGGACCCATCTGGCGGAGCAAAAATAGCACCAATAGATAGTGCAGTGTAGATGCAGGATGCCATGTCATCACATGTGCTGTGGGACAGTATTATGACTTTGTGCAAGTATGCACAGATGTGCAGTATGCACCATGATCCTTTTCGTGTGAAAGGTGAACCTTGCCTTTCCAGTGAGTGGGAAAGTGAGCAGTGCCTTCTTGTGCTGATCATAACCCGTATCCATTCTTTTATTGGAGGCCTTGGTCCCTGGACCTGTTGACTTGTGGGATCTCCTCTCCCCCCTGCTCTGCCTCCCCTTCTCTATAGCTGTTCCAGTAGAGTGAGCGGAGGAGTGTCCTGGGAATAAACTGAAGTACAGCCTTTATCAGGGTTTCAAGAGTCTTCCACGAACCTATTGCAGCAGCTTCATGATTTTCAAATAAAACATATCTTGTACATTGTTTTTTCCATTGTTTTAATGATGCTGAACTTGCTGCTGTGGTGTACTCACAGCTACCAGATTGTAGGGAGGGGAAATGACGCTTGTCTGTGTCTCTTACATTTTTTTACCAGCTACCACCACATTTTTATGTTGATCGCATCTACATCCTCCGTTGGTTTGTTTTCTTTTCAATTGTGGGGCTGAAAGAGGCATTTTTTTTATTTAAAATTTTTCTGTGCTGCCTTTCTCCCCAAAAGGACCCAAGGCAGCACAGAAATATTTTAAATATTCTTTAGATATGCTTTAGATTTCCAGTGGAGGTTGGCCATTTAGGCCAAATGGGGTGTTGTTTGACCTCAAGCTGCCCCACCTTACTCCTTCCTTTCTCCTTAAATAAGTTGGCTCAGGCTCGGCTTCTGTTCCCTTCCTGCTAACTGTCAGACTCTACTTTGTGCAGCAGAAATGAGAAGGTGAATAGCTTTCATACCATGAAGAGAGAGAGAGAAGCAAGAGCAGGTGAAAATCTCTTAAAATTGTGTGTGAATGAGTGCATGTATATGAATACCTATTCTGCTCTGGCTCTCCTCGTCACCCTGTTTCCACCCACCATCACCTTCTGTGCCACCCACCCCACCAGTTTGTTGCTGCATCGGACATGTCCCCCTGTTGCAGATATATGAGGAGGAGGAGGCATTGCTTTGAGTTGGATTTCCTTGGGGAGTTGATGCATGAACAAACAGAAGCAACAGCACACTGACATCACCACACATCTTATCGTGATCTTTTTTGACCGGGCACACTGCTTGATGATGATAAAGACTTATTAACATTGGCTTGCCACATACCAGAATCTGATAATTACCCCAAGAACCCCTTTATGTTTCATTTAAAAAGACATAAAACGAAATGTCAATGCCTGAAGGCTTCAAAGAAGAATAATTTGTTTTCTAAGCAACTTACGGACATATTGTGCAGCTCAGATCTCGCAGGCACCTGAGAAACTCTGGCTTGACATTGCTATATTTTAACTGGACTCACAAGTAAAAGGAAGGATATTAGGCCATAAATAGCTCTTACATTTGTATTGATTTTTCAGGTAAGCTCTACAGTATAGACTACTTGCTTAATTTAAAAGTTTAATGATAGACTTGAGAATGTGTGGATAAGCCCATGTAGCAAGCCCCTCTTTCATTGTTCAGAGAAGGAGGCTACTCTGAATTCATGATCATGGTTGCAATTTAATTAAAGACAGCACATAAATCTCTCTTATCCATCTGACTGTGCCTCCCTCATTTCATTCCTTCACCTAATCCTGCTCTTACAAAATAAAAGTTTGTCATGTCTAGAGCAAAGAATTAGGGATTATAGACTTTTTTGAAGAGAGTGTACACAAATACACATGGTCCTCAATTTTATCCCCTAACACTAGAAATAGCCCTTTTGCTATCAACAGAGCAGCTTCTTCCTATATGCCAGATATGAAGTTCAGGTTATGTTAGCCTACCTTAGAGAATCATTATAGAGGATTCCTTAAGTGTTCATTGTATATGATTTTGATGGCAAAACTTTTCTTATCATATGAAGTTTGCAAGTAAGGCTGCTTAATTTTGTGATTCATATGTGATATACAACCACCTTCTTCATTTGCAAGTCTAATTTCTCACATAGGAAGGTCTGTCTGAATCATGTCTCAGGAACACTAATATGCTCCATTGTTGGATAATCTGTAACACATAGTTCAGCTTCTAGTTATTTCAGATTTTATAAAGGCCAGCCAAGCTTACCTAGTTGTTATTATCATGGCAGTCTTCACATTTAAACTTTTCATTGAGTAAACAGAAAATATAAATGTATAGAAAATTAAATCTGAATTTATTTTATTTTCTAGTTTTGTGGTTCTTTAAAATGTTTTTTTTTTTCATTTTTGTTCTTCCAAACTGTGGTTATTTTTAATTTTGCACCCATGTTGTTTTTATCTTTATTGTATTGGGCTCACTCGGCAATAAAGTGAGGTAGAAATCTCATTAATACTACAGTAATCTTTCACATTTTAAAGCAATATTTTGTGACCAAATAAGACAGAAGAGCTCCACTAATAGAATTAGTGAATACCAGCATAATTGGTCTGAATAAAATTCATTCAGCCAAAGACATTCAGAGCTATCCTTCCCTGCTGATACTGCCCTCCACTGCAGGAGGTTTGCTGGCATTGTTTTGTTTATGGTTCAGTACCTTGGACAGATCCTGTAAAATTGAGATGGCAGCCTAGAAATGAATGTACCAGCACACATCCCACATTTTATTACCAGCCTCCACTATGCAACTGCCTCATCCCCCGCCCCCGAGTTCATGTCTGCTACACTCTGCCTCACCCTAGATGCGAATATTTTAGAAAACTTGCATGCATGCCTTATTACTTTGCTATTTATGAAGTAAATCCACTGAGACTACATAGAAAAAGGCTGTTTGTTGCAGACTAGCGAAAGAAGCCTCTCCAGAGGGACAGGAATGGGGCACTCCTTCTCTTCTCCTCTTGGCAAGACAGACAGACATCACAACATGAGTAGCTTCTTCATTGACTGGAGAAAGTCAAGATGCATGTAGAGAGATCTGCATGTGGAAGACAGGTGGCCAGATTTGGCAGAAAATAGTAGAGTTGGGACCTCATCTATTTCAACTCTTTTCTGATGCAGAAAACATAGAGTTAAAGAATCTCTGGGAGATGGACAGCCTCTGCTTAAGAAGGGTTTAGATCAATGGCTCCCAACCTTGGGAACCCTGGTGTTCTTGAACTGCTTTCCAGAAGCTTTCACCACCAGCTGTGCTGGCTAGGGTTTCTGAGAGTTGTAATTCAAGAAGACCTGGGTTACCCAAGAGTGGGAACCACTAGTTTAGTTTCTCAGGCACTGTGAAACAGCCCTAACTATTTGGTTCTTCCAAACATTTAGTCAACAACTTGTTTAGTTTCTCAGGCAATCTGTTCCACTGTGAAACAGCCCTAACTATCTGGTTCTTCCAAACATTTAGTCAACAACTTGCCATTTGAACCTATTAATTTGGGTCCTGCCAGAGCAGCCCATGTTCTACACACTTGAAAACAGTGGCAGGTGGGTCCTTCCCTCTAGAGTAACAGGAATACAGTTTGCTTCTTGTTGTAAACAAAATCCTTTAAAAAAACTGAGGATGGTATTGTATTGCTGCACAAATGAAGAAAGGGTTTCTTCCTCCAAGTGTCTAATATAGGTACCATGGTTTGCTTCACTACATATATGTGAAATAAATAGAAGGCTCTACTATAGTGGCAAACAGACCCCTCCTCTTTTTATCCGGTAGTCTTTACCTAAGCTTTGGATTGTTAGCTCTCAGGATGCCAATCGTGCTTGTCTTGTCCAGGTGGGGTAGCTCTCTGTGAAGGATTTGCACAAGACTTCACAGGCAAAATTGGTCAGATCTGCTCGGACTTGGATGCTGGAGTTGATTCAAGTCCTGTGAATGTAACTTTGCCCCCTGCCTGTCCTGTATTAATAGATGTGTTTCAGTTTCTGCAGCCAGATGATGTGGACAGGAGCCTTGGAGAGGTAAAGGTTACCACACGTCTGCTGGATCCTTGCCCTTCCTGGTTCTTAAAAGCAGTATCACCTGTCTTTATGTGACTGGGAGTACAATAAAAAACCCATGTGGCCCTCTCCTCTATTAAAACGTACAGGTCCCAACATTTCAGGGTTGGGAGTGAGGAAGGGAGTTGTAGAGCTGGTAGACTATATTCCTCTATTTTGTATGCAAGTCTTTCCATTAAGCATCTTGTTTCATCTCTCACGTGCACACACACACACACACACGTGTGTGTGTGTGTGTGTGTGTGTGTGTAGAGAGAGAGAGAGAGAGTCTCTATCTAGTGCTTTATTTTAATTTATTTAAACTTCAATAAAAGTAAAGAAATAACATTATAAAATATGAATGGGAGAAACAGATATTCAGCAGAATGACACTAAATCCACTAATTCTAAAGGAAGAGCCACAAATAGTTAGGGGGAAGCTTTGGATCTTTAATAAGCAGTTGGAGGTATGTGCTTTAAGAAATGCAAGGTCAAGACAAATAAAAAAAGGAACTTGTTGAGCTGGATGAATAGTGTAGCTGGCTTGTTTCAAAAAAATCACAGATGTTTGATGTGTCTTTTTTTCAGAACAACCAGCACTGGGGAATACTACTTAAGTCATTGGCAGAGTATCATGAAGCATTACAGTTTTACAAGACAGAGGGGTAGCTTGTAAGACAACCTATGGTTCCTAGCTCAGCCTGACCCCTTGCTTTGACATTGTCTCCCTCTTCCAGGCTGTTCGGTTTTACATTCCCATATCCTTCTGGCTGCACTAGTGCCTTTTCAAGAAATGTCAAAGTTCTTTTGTCCCTTATGGCTACTCTGGCATTTCAGAATTAAGATAGACGTAGATGACCAGAAGTTCTGGATTAGCAATTTAAAACGTTGTTGTACAGTGTATGTACTTTATCAGAATGCTGTAGCTTTCACCTTTAGTTAGTCCCAAAATGATAACCTCTCTTTAATACGCTCAGAAGAAAGGTGTGCTTAACCACAAGGTAAAATCCCTATTGCCCTACAAAGTACAGCAGCTCATTGGTGAACTTTTAAGCAGTCACTCTATGACTCCGAGTCCTTTTTTCCACCCTTTGGGAAAAGGTACAATATGCACAGGAGCTGTGCTGGCATCCTGTTAGCATCCAACTGGTTGATGTTTGGAATTCAGCCCATGAATGAACTATTTTTGTGATGCATACAAAAACATATGGGAATGTTCTTAAATATGCCTGAGTTGGTGGAGAAGAGGGAAAACCAAATGCTATTACTAAAGGAACAAAACAAAATAAAAAAGGTAGACTTGTTTCAGTTGAAGTTATTGTCTTCTATCCTGTCCAAATGGGTGACTGAGCCTGTTGGAAGAAACAGAGATGTAATAGATGTTAAGCAGTGAAAATGTCATTCAGGAAAGCAAATGAACCAATTCATAGTACATATTGTATCTTGCATAAATAATTAATTCATTATGAATTAATCAATTAAATGCTAACAAGTTTATTGCAAATTATGACAACCTTTTTCAGGTTTTCTGGGTATAAAGGTCTCAGAATTCATTAACCAGTCTCTTCTTCTGTGAGTGCCATGGAAGCTTGCCCAAGGCTACACAGGCTGGGTCTTCTCCTAGGAGGCACAGAGGGTGAGTGGGAGAGGAGAATCAGACTCCTAACTCCAACTCAGTGAGCTATGAATACAATATAAAATGAAAAAGGAAGCATGCACTAGTTTTATGTGAATCTATATCTATATCTGTGCTTGCATGTATGTGTATATATACACATATGAAACCAATGCATGCATTATTTACTATTTTAAGCAATATTACAAGACTTCCTGCTGCATACCTTAAAAATATTAAATGTTACATAGATATGGCAACCAAAAGGTTCTATTTTAAAATTTTGAGGATGAACATACAAAGTTTTAGAATATCCTATAGATACAGTATTACAATTCGATACATTGAAGACTCCATGGCTGAAATCCTATTGCATAGCTCTGCCCATGCAACAGAAATGACATCAGCAGTGGCAGCGAATCAATGCTTTGGTAGTCTCAAGATGCACAATGTGATGAAATTGCATGCACATGGAAACCAGTGGCAACTGACTGATGATGATGATGTTCCTGTTGTGTAAGTAGTCTTCCACAACAGGATTTCAGGTCATATGGCAGTAGTGGGGAACAGGAAACAAAAGGGAGGGTTTGCAATATAGGTGTCCTAACATAACAAATATGGGACGTGGTGGCGCTGTGGGCTAAACCGCAGAAGCCTGTGCTGCAGGGTCAGAAGATCCGGCAGTCGTAAGATCGAATCCACGCAACGGAATGAGCACCCGTCGCTTGTCCCAGCTCCCGCCAACCTAGCGGTTCGAAAGCATGCAAATGCAAGTAGATAAATAGGGACCACCTCGGTGGGAAGGTAAACAGCGTTCCGTGTCTAAATCACACTGGCCATGTGACCACGGAAAGATTGTCTTCGGACAAAACGCTGGCTCTATGGCTTGAAGAGCGGGATGAGCGCCGCCCCCTAGAGTCGGACACGACTGGACAAAAATTGTCAAGGGGAACCTTTACCTTTACCTTTAACATAACAAAATTAGAAGATGAGATCAGGTAGCACCTTGATCTTAAATGGGCTGCAAAGTTCCTGTGCATATTTGAGGGGATGAGGAATAGATGTTTGGATTAGGACTGGAGAAACCTGGGTTCAAATTCCTAGATATTCTTAAAGCCCAGTCTATTACTGAGATTGAATGATGTATTCTGTGGGACCAGCTCCAAATGTTCTGCAAGAAAAAAAGCTGGTGGTGTCCTACTGAGCCAGCAAGACCCAAGTGCATTGTAGTTTAAGACAGCAGAGTTATTTTGGCAGGTGAGGCAAAGAATGCCAGAAGCACTCCTCTGCATCTCTGATACTAAATGTTTAACCATAACAATGGGAATAATTAACAATTCCTGCCCACAATATGACATGACACCTAAATCTTATACATGATTGCTCCCTTTTGGCAAATGTTAGGGCCAGCCCTGATGTTACATTTCATACATAGCAGGCAAATCCATATGGCGTTTTCTGTAGGCTCATTTTATTCCAAAGGTTTGTATATTTATACTACTCTGAATCTAAGGGAACGAGCATAATTAGTGGAGGAACCTCCTCAAGAGTTGACTATGTGTAAACTGTTGCAACAGGAGTTTTTCTTTTTTTGTGTGTGATTGTTTTCAGGACATCAACATGGAAAGAAGCCCGGTTCTTCAAATATGAAATACTGCCTCAGTCATGTCTCTCCAACATTGAGGAGCATTCAGTTCAAATATACTCTGTGTTAATTCTGTTTTTCCTGGAGATTCAATGGAAGCACAAAGGATAGTCCTTAATCTTCAGAACAGAGTTTGAAACTCAGTGGTTGTGAGAGAGGAGGCTACACTTTTAATATTCATGCAACAAATAAAAAAAATGAGTTTTTGATCATCTTGTTTGTTCTATGCCTAAGCTGAACACTTCATGCCGGGCAAGTTCAGGAGCTTCAAATTGAGCTTCCAATCATACTGTGTGCTGAAGGTCCCAAACCAAATATCAAGCTAAAGGTTTAAGGAGGCCTCCTATTGTAGCTTCTGCTTTTGAAATTATGAGACGTGTAAAGGATTAGAGCTGCTGTCTTCTAAACCACAGTAGGCTAGGCAGGGAAGAGGAAAAGCTAGACACAAAGCACATGTGTCCAAATATTCCCATTTTTATTAGACACAAGTTAGTTGTTCAACACAATTTCCCCATGCCTAACTTATGTCAGCTCTTTTTTTGTCTCTTCTTTTATATCTTTGGGGTGTCAAGCTTGATTGTACAGACTTTCTGCATACAAAAAAGTGTGAGGAAAGCAGACAGTTTCCTCCAGGATGACATTCCCAATACTTCTATAATATCAAGAAGCCCAACAGGATTAAATGTAAGAATGACCTGCAAAGAAGTAAACAACATGTTCCACCTACCATTTTTATTCTCCTTTTTTCCTCATTTGCTCTTCAAAGAAATCATTGCATGCAACTGTCAATGCAGCAACCAGGACCACAAATTCATTAAAATCCACCTCATTGTCTTTATTGCTATCAAGATCTTTCATAATCTTATCAACCAATTGGGGATCCTTTTGACACTACAAAGACAAAAACAGATATTAAATCTTCCTATATACAGTATTGCTTTACACTCATATATTGGAAATTACATCAGAGATTCCTTTTTATTTTGTTTTCGGTCATGTATACATACTATCTAAAAGCCTTAGGAGCTTTCTTTTTACAATGACAGTTATATTTACCATTACAAAAGTAACACATACAACATTACACTGTTGCCACAAGGGGTCTGCACTGCAGCCAATATTTATCTCAACAAAAAGATTTGTATCATGTCTATTTCTCTTGTTTATTTTCTCATCATAAACAGGCATGATGCTTATTTCTAATGTTTTGAACAGTTTAATTCATTAGGAAGCTAAATGTTAATGCATTTTCTCCTAGGCCTGTCGCCCAATTAAAGAAACGTCAGATGATTAACTATATGAGTTTCAGCGATTTGGTTGTCTCAGTTTGAAGAAAACAACATTGCTGAAGGGAAAAGAACATCCTGTTTTTAAGCAAAACAGACACATGTCATAACAGGCATTGTCTTGGACATGGAGGGAAGACTGATGCTTGTAATAAACATCAAAGGCTGCATGGCGTAGAAAGAAAAGAATGCTGTTTTTATAAACTGCATATAGAGATACAGAGATAAGGTTGGGATTCTATGGTGAGTTACATGCCTGGGAGAAAGAGAAGGTGAGGGCAAGGGCAGAAGGAAGTAAACTCACTCCAAGAATAGCAATCTAGGTAAAGCAGAGGCAGATCAGATAAAGAGGGCAGCATAGCTGTCTGTTTCTCCCACTGTTGCCCCTGTAGGGCATTCACTCCACTATTTGGTACATTACCGAGTGGATTGGTTTGCTTTTTTTCTGGTGACCACATGATATAATTGCCGAAGCAGACAAATTTGCCCCCAGAGCAACTGATTCAGTGCATCAGCAATACTCCAGCATGTGCCAAAATAATAATTTCACTTCCTCCGCCCCTCCACAGAGGAGCAGGGGAAGTAGTCAAATGACAAAGGAAGAAGCCAGAGAGTTATTTGAGGTCCATATGCCATTTGGAACTAAGGGTTGTGCCACATGTCATATCACTCCTCCCCCAACTTCAAGTGACCATATTTAGACCAGCCTGCTAGTGCAGTTGTGCCCTGAGTTTAGTTCATTGAACTTTAGTACTTAGTGTAGGTTTTTTGCATGCCCTGAGTTTAGTTCATTGAATGTGAACTTTAGTACTTAGTGTAGGTTTTTTGACACTTGACTTTCAATGTCTCATCCAGAAAGAGGTGCTTCCCCATACATAGGAGAGAAAGGAACATGCTTCTTTTAATATAGTGTCTGCCAAGTAAGATTTTTCTCTTGTGAAATAAAACTGAAATAAATTTAATGCCTCATTAATTGGAAGCAATGTTTCAGCTGATCAAAACATTTTTAATCAGCATAACTGACAAAATCTCTACATGTCTGTTTAGAAAGAGGGATGCACAATAATTTCTCAGTCTGTATTTTGAACAAGTTAAGTTTATTTGCTCTGCCCAAACAAATATGTAGATCATTAGCTTTTGTACTCCTACAATTTTTTAAAATGTGGAAATGAGATAGAATGAATATGTGAGGAACTAACATAGATTAGAATTATACTTGTTCAAACCTGAGCTAAGGAAAGTTAATTATTTTGACTTACTAATTCCCAGAACCTCTGATTTTGAACAACTAGTGCTAGGTGGTGAAACACGGGAGTTTAATTTTTTTCCAAGCCATGAATTGACTTTAGTTGGGTTTATTGCTAAATAGATGAGAAGAGGATCACAGCTTAAAAGTCCCATCCTGCATTTGTCCAGTGAATTCTCCAAAGTTAAAATGTTGCAGCAATATCCATTATGTAAATCCTCATTATCTAAACTTCTGATTTATTATTATTGCTGTTGCTGTTATTGAACGTAACAGGAATATGTAATATGGCACATCCGGATGGGGAACTTGATCTGGTTCACACTTAAAAGGTTCTTATCTTTCATGCAATCTATTTTATCTCTCACATGAGTCTGATTTATTATTATTGCTGTTGCTGTTGCTGTTGTTGAATGTAACAGGAATATGCAATATGGCACATCCGGATGGGGAACTTGGAGTGATCTGGTTCACAGTTAAAAGGTTCTTATCTTTCATGCAATCTATTTTATCTCTCACATGAGTGATCCTTCCGTTCCTACTGATCAACATTGCTTCTCCCATGACCAGGGTCCAGACAAGTCTTTGGATCACCTCATTTTGTTCTCCTTTTCAATTAACGCCACACACCCCTTCCCTATCCCCTTCCCTGTCTTTTCCCACAGCTGTCATTCTGTCAGGATGCAGGGACTTCCCTTTCTTCTTCTTCTTCTGGTTAAATAAAATATATGGCATAGCAAAACAGCAACACATCTACCTGGCATGGTACACATAATATTGCCAATGTATCTCATTTATTTAGAATTGCACTGCAGCAATATTTTAAAATTTAAAATGATACAACAGATTGAAATAGAGGAGGAAGGGCCTTCTGCTGTCCTTTTCAATGCTACAACCCACCAAATATGTCAAAGAGTTGTCATCTCAGATAACACTGCCCATAGCTCTATTTGAGTGTGAATTAACCATTCTCATGAACGTGTTAATTAGGAGCACTCTGAATTGTGCCAAAAAACAACAAAAAAACCCTGTAGCCCGGTGAAATGCCAAAAAAAGAATCAGGACAGCTCTAAAAAAGGGGGCAAGATGGAGCTCTCTAAATCTAAACACACATATGAACACCATAATTCGATTCAAACCAAACAGCACCAAAACAGCTGTCCAAATAGCAAGCTATATGGCTGTCTGGATGTGCTCTTAGACTAGAGAGCCACAGTTACTGGCAGCAAGTGGCAACAGTTCTCTAGTAGAGATGGAGGTATTCCTATTCATATACGAAAACCCCGCAAAGGTGGACATAACCAGGGTCCAGCCCCCTGGGGCTGAGCCATCCACTCACCCATCCACTGCTGCCATGGCTCTATACTCCCTTCCAATCGCTCCAGAGCTCGCGGTCGACTAGCCACTCCTGACAGAAGGAGGGAAGATGAGCCTCCCTGCCAGGCTGAGGAGTGCCTTGTCAACCACAAGCTCCGGAGCAATTGGAAGGCAGTGTGGAGCTGTGGCAGCAGTGGATGGCTGAGTGGACAGTCATTATGTCCACCTGTGCAAGGGTATTCATATATGAATATGAATACCTCCATCTCTACTCTCTACATTTCTGGCATAAGAATTTTCCTATTCATCTACAATTGTTGGGAATTAAGCCTGGAACCTTATTAAAGCACCTCTTCCCCCACTGAGGTACAACCATGCCACAAAGTTTACCAGTCTATACCACTGTGTCAATGATTTCACTGTAACCTAATGCCATTACCACTCCAGATTTGTATGTTTTCTATGTATTATCCAAATGATTTGAACTCAGAGCATCTAGATATGAGACACATTATTAATTCTGAGACACAAAGGGCCCATTATTCCTAAGACAACCTTTTATTTCAGATCCATGCCTGCCTAGCAATCAACATATTACACACTGTGATATTATTCCAAGGGCATTTTCACATGTGACACTTAAATGTGAGCTGACTTTTCATGCTAATTATGACTATTGTTGATGGAGAAAGAAAAGTAGAGAAGAGTCATTTGTAATTTAAATCAAACTTTGAGAAAGTGTTTTTTAACAACAGTTTTCAGAATCCTCCAGCTAACATGGTCAATTGTAGTCTCTGAAAGGAGACTTTTCCCAGCCCTGAACTGAATTAACATTTTGCAAAATATATTGTGCTCACTGATGTTGACAGAAACAGAAGCTGTTCTAAATGCTCTATATGCAACTGTTCATAAAGGTAACAGCCGTGAAAGTACATAAACAGACTAGCATCTAAATGAAGTTGGCTTGGATTTTACTATATTATTTTTATCCATTCTTTTTTCTTAATGTGCAAAATCTGAAACAAACCTAGCTTTCACTTGTGGATTACTTTGAAGATCAGGCCACAATGTAGCCATTTTAATAATGGTACGTTATAAAGAAAATTCAATCCACTAAAACTGATTACAGTTCCTTTACTTTCCTCTTCCTTTCCTCTTTCACAGAGCTGCCAATTTTTAGGACTACCCTGTTCCCCCGAAAATAAGACCTAACCTGAAAATAAGGCCTTGTATGATTTTTCAGGATGCTCGTAATATAAGCCCTATCCCCCCAAAAATAAGCCCCAGTTCAGTGAAGCATTGTCTTCCATCCTTGTGCAGCAACCAGAAGAAGATGGCATGACTGTACAGTATTTGAATAAATGTAGATTGTTGTACATGAAAAAAAAAAACATCCCCTGAAAATAAGCCCTAGTGCGTCTTTTAGAGCAAAAATTAATATAAGACCCTGTCTGACTCTGTCTTATTTTCGGGGAAACAGGGTATGTAGTTTCTTGGGATTATTAGACTACAGGATGCCACTTATATATCAGATTTTCAGCTGAGTATAATTTAAGAGCAAAACAGAGGAGCACAAATCACATTGGCACTGATAATGTGTCCTGAAGCGAGAGTTTTTCTTACCAGTCCCTCTGCTCAGCACAGATAGGAAGCTATATTTAGTGCCTGTAGGACTTCCAATCAATCTGTGAATAAAATGCTGTGCAGCTTCAGGCTAGGAGAAGCATTTAAAGTGAAAGGACATATCCACCTATTGAGCAATGTTCAACACTATACCCTTTAGCAGTCTCCTATAATAAGGTACTCCACCTCTTTGAGTCCATCTACCTGTCCACTTTTCATGAACCACTGTTCTAGAGTGGGCAAGAGAAGGACCACCAGAATGCTGAAGTAAAGAAGAAAACAACAGATCATGACTAGGGAACTTTAGATTTTTATCTAGAAAAGTAGCACAGGTGATAAATCTTATTAGAAGCACTCTCAAAGAGTTGCACTTTCTCCACTTTGTTGTGTGTGTTCTGTGTCATCAGTTCAGAACTGAC